GGAATCCTCTACAACATACATAAACTGATCTGGTTGATTTAAAGTACCTTTACTGTATCCCCGGAACAGTAACCGTTCTCGTTAATTCATAGATATGGCCAGAATTTTTGTGTAAGAAACATTTCCTGCTGCTGAGTAGCTCAAGAATTGACGCGTAGCTGCGCAGCTCGTGAAAGTGAGCTCGAGCGTAAACAAATACCGTTTTCTCTCATCAGCTGGCAGTATCACCCCGATTAAAATCTAACCTCGAGGTGGTTGAAGGGTGCAGTATCTCAGCTTGTCGGCCTAGAAAAAGAAAACGCCATCTTGCGGAAAACCGATTTGAAGAAAGATTTATTGAATGATGTTAAATTGGGCGTTTGGTTCGAATGCAAACAGTCGTTAATCGTGGTTCCTGTACTGTACTTAATATAGATAACGTTGTTACCCCTTTTTTTGTTGAAAGATTTATTCCTTGTTAAGAACAAACTCTTTAAGGACACAAAATGTGGCGTTTTGTTTCAGAAGAAACAATTCAAACAAGAAAAAGCTTTATTTTAAGTGGTTAGCCCCCCCCCCCCAAAGAAAGTCTGGAGACTTACAACGCTAAAATTCGGGTTTCGATACCCTTGGTGAGCACAGATAGCCCATTGTGTAGCTTTGTCATTAAGTACAAACAAGACGAAATATTTTTTATTTTTTTTACAAATCGCGTACAGACTTACACAAGGAAAGTGTCGTCCCAAATTTTGATCTCGTACATTAGAGGGAACGTAGCTGGTCAACAAGAACCCACCGCCAACTCTTGGGCCACTCTTGTCTGCCCGAAGTATGATATCTATCTTTTAACGCCCCCGTGATTCGAAAGTGCGTAGCGAGGTTTTTTTGGCAACGGGACGCGAACCATGAATAATCGAATCCACAGTTGCAAGCACACCATCATTTCGGCTACGACTTTAAACAACCGAAGAACGTAGACCGTCACAAGATGTTTTAGTGATATTAATCTGTTGATCTATTAAATAAACATACCTGTTATCCATAAGTAACTGCTACCAAAAGTTTAACATCTTGAATGCACAGGCTATCCTTAGGAACGTCTTCCTTCATCGTCACTGGCTTTGGACTACAACAAATTGAGTTACATCGTATTAAAACTTCTTTTAAAGTTGTGACGCCGAGAAACTGCGACAGTGTCATTGAACTAGTATAATTTCTTTAAACTATTCAACGTAAGTTGATGACGCAGAACATCGACAAATTTGGTAGATAAATTTATGTCATCATCTGAAAATCCAGAGCCCAGTACATATGTCTAGACTCACTCGCGCTCTGTGCTCAATTCAACTCGACGGCAGTTTAAGACTCCACGTTCTCCGACAGGGGGCAGTGCTTTATTACGTCACTATTTAGAGTTGTTCAGTGTTCTTGCACCTTGCGGTTGTTCAGCTAAATTAGAACAAGAAGTTTAGGAATGACGAGGATTGTGACTGTCTCTGTTCTGGTTTGTTTTATAAACAGGATTGTGACTGTCTCCGTTCTGGTTTGTTTTATAAACAGGATTGTGACTGTCTCCGTTCTGGTTTGTTTTATAAACAGGCTGGTGACTGTCTCTGTTCTGGTTTGTTTTATAAACAGGCTGGTGACTGTCTCCGTTCTGGTTTGTTTTATAAACAGGCTGGTGACTGTCTCCGTTCTGGTTTGTTTTATAAACAGGCTGTGACTGTCTCTGTTCTGGTTTGTTTTATAAACAGGCTGGTGACTGTCTCCGTTCTGGTTTGTTTTATAAACAGGATTGTGACTGTCTCCGTTCTGGTTTGTTTTACAAACAGGCTGGTGACTGTCTCCATTCTGGTTTGTTTTATAAACAGGCTGGTGACTGTCTCCGTTCTGGTTTGTTTTATAAACAGGCTGTTGACTGTCTCCATTCTAATTTGTTATTTATAAACAGGCTGTTGACTGTCTCCATTCTAATTTGTTATTTATAAACAGGCTGTTGACTGTCTCCATTCTAATTTGTTATTTATAAACAGGCTGTTGACTGTCTCCATTCTAATTTGTTATATATATACAGGGTTGTGACTATTCTAATTTGTTATATATATACAGGGTTGTGACTGTTCTAATTTGTTATATATACAGGCTGGTGACTGTCTGTGGTTTGTTTTACATATAGACTGGTGACTCTCTGTTCTTGTTTGTTTTATACACAGTTTGGTGACTGTCTGTTCTTGTTTGTTTTATACACAGACTGGTGACTGTTTGTTCTAATTTGTTATATATACAGGCTGGTGACTGACTGTTCTTGTTTGTTTTATATACAGGGTGGTGACTGTCTGTTCTAATTTGTTATATATACAGGCTGGTGACTGTCTGTGGTTTGTTTTACATATAGACTGGTGACTGTCTGTTGTGGTTTGTTTTACATACACAGGCTGGTATCTCTGTTCTTGTTTGTTTTATACACAGGCTGGTGACTCTCTGTTCTTGTTTGTTTTATATACAGGGTGGTGACTCTCTGTTCTTGTTTGTTTTATATACAGGGTGGTGACTGTCTGTTCTTGTTTGTGTGCGTCTCTCTGAGCTCTGTATTTGTATTTTTTCTTCCCTAATGAAGTGTACGAACGTATGTTTGATTGATGAATTGATCCTATGGCTTTTATCCGATTACCGCTCGAAGAAATTCAAAACTTTTTCATCAGAACTGTCAGCACGGCTGTATGACGTGAGTCACGATCAGCAGAAAGATTAGCCTTCGAATTCTCAACTGTCAGAGTATTCTCTGATCCGTGTTTGCTCAGAATTTAAATGACGGGGGCAGACTGATATCCTGGTTTATGTGGACCTGTCCACGCAAATAGAAATAGAAATATATATATATATAGAACCGACGGAAAACTTGTGTTAAACCTCCACAAATATAAACGTACTCTCTGTAACTGTAGAAATATACAAGTGTGTGTGTAAAAAGGCTAAGTATCATGATGTAATCAAGTGGGTTTTGATAGCAAACTAATTTCATGAGTTGATAATAAGTTATTATTAAAATGATCAACGTTATGTCATTTTATATTAGTAGTTACAATAACGTGGCATTAGAAACAATAAACTTAATAACTCGCTCCTTTACAAAGGCTTAAAAACATCAGTGTCAGTAAGTCGTCATCGGTTTCTAAAAACCTTACCGATGTATTATCACATTAACATCGTTTCCGACCAGTGAACGAAGGTTTTACACAGAAACTCTGACGTTTGATACAAGAAATACTGAGTAGGACTCAAAATCAGGTCACGATAACTAGCGTTGACTTAAAGAGTGAAAAACAAACAAGTTGTTTGTTTGTGTGATGGAACGATTAGTGACAAACTTGGTCTTACTATTCTTTATCGATCTTTAATTTACGAATTATAAATACTCTTGTAAATACCGTTTGTAAAGAATAACATCGGAGATTTTGTCAACTTTTTTCTTAAATTCTACCTTCTCATCAGAACGCCCCGCCCCCAAGTGTAACAGCTGGTTTATAGTTTACACACGTTGTTTTGGGGTATAGCCTTCAACATTGTCTGTTGGAACAGCTGGTTTATAGTTTACACACGTTGGTTTGTGGTATAACCTTCAACGTTGTCTGTTGTAACAGCTGGTTTATCGTTTACACACGTTGTTTTGTGGTATAACCTTCAACATTGTCTGTTGGAACAGCTGGTTTATCGTTTACACACGTTGTTTAGGGGTATAGCCTTCAACATTGTCTGTTGGAACAGCTGGTTTATCGTTTACACACGTTGTTTTGTGGTATAGCCTTCAACATTGTCTGTTGGAACAGCTGGTTTATAGTTTAAACGTGTGGTTTTGTGGTATAGCCTTCAACATTGTCTGTTGGAACATAAACCAGCTGTTCCAACAGACAATGTTGAAGGCTATACCACAAAACAACGTGTGTAAACTATAAACCAGCTATACCACAAAACAACGTGTGTAAACTAACAGACAATGTTGAAGGCTGGAACAGCTGGGTTACCGTTTACCCACGCAACGAACTTTTTGTTAGTTTTAAAGGTAAATGTTGGAAATTTTCACCTTTCGAAAGCGCTCGAGTTATAGAGTTTTTATCATTTTGTCTCGAGACTTATTTGAACCTACGTGTTTTTCTGTAGTCCTTCTTGAAATTCATTACTGCGACGACAAAGGTGTGTTTTTAAACCAGTAGAAACGCTGGGAGCCACATTTGTCCCAGGAAAAAAGAAAGGTTTTCTATAACTTCACTCAACTTTGGGAGTAGACGAATATAAACTGTTGTGTATCCCGTATGATGTTCCAGCAATACCAATCTTGGGTCGTGCGTATCACCCGATTCGATTTTATTACTCATCAGGATCTCTACCAACCTACCCTCAAAACTAATTATATGACAAAGTAGCGCATCGCCCGTTTTATATATATATTAGTACCCCTTTCGGTACAAGAAAGGAATCATTGGGACCCCCAACGGAAAAGTTCTGTGAAAGAATTAGAACGAAAGAATTCGTCCTTTTTTTTTCTGTACCCCTGTCTGAGAAAGTCACTTACTTAGATGAAAAATTCGTTGAAATATTAAAATTTTGATTCAGTCCATAAACACGTATATAGCGATTTAGGTGATTTTATAAGTACAGTAAGCTTTAGTTTGGCTCAGCAAATATAGTCGTTGTTAATATTCAGACGTTTGAAAAGGACAGTTTTTAATGGCCGTGTTTCATCACGATCCCTACCATTAAGTACTACCGCACTTAACGATAAATTTGTTTGAAAATATTACTTGGCATTAGTAGTACAGGTTGTGACAAAAATTATGATGTTAAGTGGTATTGGTCGAGTTTTTTATATTGTTAAATTACCTCGAGAAAAAAAGACTTATCAGTATCATTCGTGTCACGTTTTAGGTGGTGTTATAAGTGCTAGTTGGAATTGATTACGTTACCTGTTTGCTTATACTTCAGTCACGTTGCATGCTAATTTCTTGTCTATTTTATGTAGGCCTTCATGTCGCCGAGATATCCAGGTGGGCCGAGAACAGGAGTTCGAATGCCCCAACAGGTGGAGTTTAATGTAAGTTGAAACATTTACCAGTTATTAATAAAGGGTTAGCTTAGTCTTGTCCCCCAGTCTAGCAGTGCTAAAATCCAGTGTTTGATTCCATACAGTGAACAGTTTGCAGATAATACTTTGTGTAGCTTTGCATTAAGAATGTAGCTAAAATAGTTCGTATTGTTTTAGTTACCCACACAAAATCGCTCGCCTTTACTACTTTAAATTAGTTTCAGCACGTGAGTTAGTAAAGCTCCAAACAGAAACATTACAACTTTTACTGTACATATGTATGCAATGTACTAATAGAAACGTGTTCTCTCACCAAAAGATGAAATTTTCAGTCTCATAATGTTGTTTATTGTAACCTTCCATTTTTAGTTTACCAATTTTCTTTCCTGTAAGCTGTTTTAGTTAGTACTGCTTTAGTTACACTGGTAGTACTGCTTTAGTTACACTGGTAGTGCTGCTTTAGTTACACTGTTAGTGCAGCTTTAGTTACACTGGTAGTACTGCTTTAGTTACACTATTAGTACTGCTTTAGTTACACTGGTAGTGCTGCTTTAGTTACACTGGTAGTGCTGCTTTAGTTACACTGTTAGTGCTGCTTTAGTTACATTGGTAGTACTGCTTTAGCTACACTGTTAGTGCTGCTTTAGTTACACTATTAGTGCATCTTTAGTTACACTGTTAGTGCTGCTTTAGTTTACTGGTAGTGCTGCTTTAGTTACACTGTTAGTGCTTCTTTAGTTACAGTGTTAGTGCTTCTTTAGTTACACTGTTAGTGCTTCTTTAGTTACACTGTTAGTACTGCTTTAGTTACACTGTTAGTGCTTCTTTAGTTACACTGTTAGTGCTTCTTTAGTTACACTGTTAGTGCTTCTTTAGTTACACTGTCAGTGCTGCTTTAGTTACACTGTCAGTGCTGCTTTAGTTACACTGGTAGTGCTTCTTTAGTTACACTGGTAGTACTGCTTTAGTTACACTGGTAGTACTGCTTTAGTTACACTATTAGTGCTGCTTTAGTTACACTGTTAGTGCTGCTTTAGTTACACTGTTAGTGCTGCTTTAGTTACACTGTTAGTGCTGCTTTAGTTACACTGGTAGTGCTGCTTTAGTTACATTGGGAAGCGCTGCTTTAGTTACACTGGTAGTACTCCTTATGGTTGGATAAAACTGACTGATGTTTCCATTTTTTGTCAACAGCCACCTGGTGGTGTTCCAGGACAACCTATGATGCCGACCAGCATGGATCCATCAAGACAAGGTAGACAGCCTTTCTCATTTTCATGTGTTTATAACAACTGTGTTTTAGAATAAGAAATTTAAAACCTTACTCTGGATATTTAGGGTACCCGAAACACTTTTAACTCACCTGTTTTTTTATCCTTACTCTGGATATTTAGGGTACCCGAAACACTTTTAACTCACATGTTTTTTATCCTATTAGAGATAAGTGTCATAACTGAGAAATTTTCTGTTCCTGAAGTTTACAAAAATCCTTGTTTAAAACTCATAGTGCAAGTCACAGGGTTATTAAATTTGTGGGTCTGGACACCTGTTTAATTATTTGGAAATAAAGTATAATTTTTAATGTGACTGTATTATTTTTTAATTAGTGTTTTCATTACAAGACTTTTTCATTTTAATTTTGTGATGATGACACAAGTCATGTGCGATATGTTCTGCCTGTGTTTGAGTAGATAACGTGTAATCCAATACACCAATACCTTGTCTTATGTTAGTAGATAACGTGTAATCTAATACTCCAATACCTTGTCTTATGTTAGTAGATAATGTGTAATCCAATACACCATTGGACTGCCTTAAGTGAGTAGATAACGTGTAATCTAATACTCCAATACCTTGTCTTATGTTAGTAGATAACGTGTAATCCAATACACCAATGGACTGGATAGTTTCTTACACTGAACTGGATAGCTGTTACTCTATTCAAAAACAATCGTCACAAAGTTTGGTATTTTCTTACACTGAACTTATCTACTAACATAAGACAAGGTATTGGAGTATTAGATTACAAGTTATCTACTCAGTTAAGGCAGTCCAATGGTGTATTGGATTACACATTATCTACTAACATAAGACAAGGTATTGGAGTATTAGATTACAAGTTATCTACTCACTTAAGGCAGTCCAATGGTGTATTGGATTACACGTTATCTACTAACATAAGACAAGGTATTGGAGTATTAGATTACATGTTACCTACTAACATAAGGCAGTGTAAGAAACTACCAAACTTTGTGACGATTGTTTTGTATAGAGTAACAGCTAACCAGTTCAGTGTAAGAAACTGTCAAACTTTGTGACGATTGTTTTTGTATAGAGTAACAGCTAACCAGTTCAGTGTAAGAAACTACCAAACTTTTCGTCACAAAGTTTGGTAGTTTCTTACACTGAACTGGATAGCTGTTACTCTATACAAAAACAATCGTCACAAAGTTTGATAGTTTCTTACACTGAACTGGTTAGCTGTTACTCTATACAAAAACAATCTCACAAAGTTTGGTAGTTTCTTACACTGAACTGGTTAGCTGTTACTCTATACAACAACAATCGTCACAAAGTTTGACAGTTTCTTACACTGATCTGGTTAGCTGTTACTCTATAGAAAGTTTGATAGTTTCTTACACTGAACTGGTTAGCTATTACTCTATACAAAAACAATCGTCACTTGTTTGGCTATGGTGTAACATATGCTTATCTGCCCAGAGTATATCACATTCACACGCTATTGGTGTTTGTCTGTCCAGAGTTTATCACATTCATCCACTGTTGGTGTTAGTCTCTGTTCAGAGTATATCACATTATCCTATGGTTAGTGTTTGTTTGCTCAGAGTATATCACATTATCCTATCGTTGGTATTTGTTTGCCCAGAGTTAATCACATTGCCCTATGGTTTGTGTTAGTCTCTGTCCAGAGTATATCACATTATCCTATGGTTAGTGTTTGTTTGCTCAGAGTATATCACATTATCCTGTCATTGGTATTTGTTTGCCCAGAGTTAATCATATTATCCTATGGTTGGTATTTGTCTGCCCACAGTATATCACATTCACCCACTGTTGGTGTTTGGCTTGCACCAAGTATTACTGCTAAAAGACTCCACTTCTCTGACTTCTACAATAATAAATGTTTCTGTTGTCCTTGTACAGCTTCCAATGGCAGGTTTTTATTGTTGTACTTGTTGGTGTCCTTGTGATCTTATTAAAAGTCCAAGCGTGCTTACGTGAATATTGGTACACCCATTTAAATACCAGTTTATGTTAACTATATTTTTCTTGGCTGTTTTGTAGTGACTAAGTGAAAATAGTGCTTATATGTAGTTATTATACAATTGTACCTGTCATTTCCACGGGCAACAGCTTGCTCACGAAAACCACATGGTATCTTTGTGTAAGATAATGAATAATTTCCATACTTCTCATCTTTCCTTTTGGTAAGAATAATAGTGAAGGTTACACTTGAAGATAAGATAAACCATGAATCCGAGGGTAACTGGTTTTCATCCCCTTTCTGCAACAACAAAAAATTATGCTCCCTACTTTGGGGCTGCGGGTGTGTTATAAGAGTGATGGTCAAATTTCTGTATTTGATTATAATAGCCCAAGACTTAGCAGTGGGTGCTTTTGGATAAGCTGCCTTTGCTATAAAGTATGTAGAGGTAAACCAGAAACTTCTAATCCGTTACAGTATAATAAGAGTTCATGTTAAACATACAATCAGTGCTTCTGTAAATGGTACTTCGTGTTATCTAGTTGCTCCTTGATCTTTATCATATTAAATACAAGCTAAAGTAATCATCCACAGTGATGGGAAAAGTTTAAGTTAATCTATCAGTTTAAATTATTTCATGGACTTTAAAAGATTATTTGTGTTCCACTCAGAGCCAAAGCTCTAAGCTACTTATACCACCCACCGTGAAAAGTAATTGTTGAACATATCAGTCATGCTAAGAACCGCTCAACAATAACATATGGTAAATCTACATTTTTATTCTTTAAGTTACGTCACATTTTGAAATGTGAATGATAGTGTGATTAATTCCTAACAGTTTGTTATAGAATATCCTGCTTAAAAAATAAAATTTAGCATCAACATTATTCATGTCTATTCTCTCGTCATTTAAAAAGTGATGTTGAGCTTTGTCTGCGTGTGCATCTTTTGAAACGGGAAACAGATTAATGCTCCACCAGACACTACGTTTCACACTATATATAAGATTACTTTTCATGTGCTGAACACAATCTTTATATTGCAAACATACTGAAACATGTGCAGTTACTGTACTTGCTGCGTGTCTAGTGAAGAAAACCTCATATTTTATCCATTTCTGAAAAGTTTTAATCCATATGCTGTACATAGCTTGTCTATTAAAGAGAGAGGCTAGGATGTGCTTTTCTTGATGCTGCACATCCTAGTATGAGGTACTAAGTGACCTGAAATACTAAAATATACAGCACTAATGGGTGTGAAGTGTTTAATGACTTAATATATCCATGGTAAGAAAACCAATTAAATCTGTGAATTACTTGCCACGTGCTAATGTTGACCAGGTAACATATGTTCCTGTTTAAGAAAGATAACATTATCTCTTTTGCGAATTTAAACAAGCCTGAGTGTAATATATATTTTAAAAGCTTATTTGTGAATACCTGATTTAATAGACTGATAGGCTGTTGTTTATTACTTGCTCAGGGGAAGATATAACCGTATTGCATCATTGTTAGAATGTAAGACCTCTTATAGAAACTTTGTAGGATTTAGTTTGTTTAACACCTTTTAACAATAAAGGAAGCTCTGTTAAATTTTTATCTTAGAAGGTTAAAATCCATTCGTTAAGTTATGGTGTCAGTTTATATGTTCCATTTATTGCTTGTAGTAAATTTTTTGTTTCACTAGATTCAATTTCTAACTATGACTAGAACCTCAATTATTCTGTGACTAAGAATATAATCGTAAGGTTATTCAAGATTTTTAAAACACAATAAAAAGTATCTTCAGAAACCATTTTCAAGATAAACACATACAAGACGTTACTTTAGGTATATGATAAAACAACAGTCCTGAGTGTTTGCTAGACTTGTTTCCATACCCAATGATAGAGAAAAAATGTGGCATGTTGCTGGGTAAAATTAAACCATATTTCATATATTTTATTTACACAAAATGTTAAAGTAATGTACAAATATATGACTTAACATCTATTGAGCCATAGAACTGATTTTTTAGTGAACTTATTTTAAATAGATGAAAACCATGACATGACATAACCATTATTATGCCTTTTTTTTCATGCCTTGCACAATGGCTAATTAACAGTTAGTGCTGGTACATATACGTAAGTTAGGCCACTTTGTTAATGACACATATACGTAAGCTAGGCCCACTGTGTTAATGACACATATACGTAAGCTAGGCCACTTTGTTAATGACACATATACTGTAAGTTAGGCCACTTTGTTAATGACACACATATACGTAAGTTAGGCCACTTTGTTAATGACACATATACGTAAGTTAGGCCACTTTGTTAATGACACATATACGTAAGTTATCCACTTTGTTAATGACACATATACGTAAGTTAGGCCACTTTGTTAATTACTTTTGATCTGTTTTCCCATCCCTAGTACTAAACTTTTTATCCATCTTATTAATGAATCAAAAGAACACTATATACATAGCTATTACTTTTGATCTGTTTTCCCATCCCCAGTACTAAACTTTTTATCCATCTTATTAATCTTTTTTTTTGTTATTTATAGGTGAAGGTGGGGAATTTGCTGGGTGGCAAGGTAGGCTGCACGCCTCTCTTCAAACGCTGTTGTAATATGTACATTTGTATAGTGTTTTGTAATGTGTTGCCCCCCTTCGTTACACTTTGTACGGTGTTTTGGTAACGTGGATAGTCCTTCTTCCGATACATTTTTTATAGTGTCTAGATTCCTTCCCCTAAGTTTATATGGTGTTTTTGTAATATGTAAATTCCTTTCTGAAAACTTGTGTGGTGTTTTTGTGATATGTATATTCCTTCCTGTAAACTTATGATGTTTTTGTAATGTGTATATTACGTTCTTTAAATTTGTATGATGTTTTTGTAATGAGTAGGCTTCTCTTTTCTGTAGATTTTGATTATGTAATGCATAAATTCCTTATTTCTGTAGATTTATGTGTGTTTTTTATGTGGATACTCCTTACTGTAAATTTGTATTGTGTTTTTTATGTGGGTACTCCTTTCCTGTAAATTTGTATTGTTTTTTTGATGTGGGTACTCTTTCCTGTAAATTTGTATTGTTTTTTTTATGTGGGTACTCTTTCCTGTAAATTTGTATTGTTTTTTTTTATGTGGGTACTCTTTCCTGTAAATTTGTATTGTTTTTTTTATGTG